GTATGAGGACATAGGGACAAGGGACACAGGGACATGGGACATGAGACACCAACAAACTTCGTGCGAGTCGTGAGGACGATGACCGGCGCATACCTCCAGTTCCCGAACTAGCGCTGGCGAAAGCAGTCTCCATGACTTCCAAATTGCCGCTGCGTGAGTTGTGTAGTATTGCTGATGGTGCGGTACTAGCAAAGCGTGAATTTGAGTTCGATTCTTGAGAAGAAGAAAATGTCCGAGACCGACGATCGCTTTCAAATTCTTGCCGTGTTGACCCATTACGTTGGTCAACTATCACATCTGTCTCACGAATTTGTGTTGAAGAATTTTGATCATCTTCCTCATCCTCTTCTCGAATACTCGCATTTGTCAGAAATGTTGACGAGAGATGCACGGCTTTATCATCCTCGATTTGCTCGGACGACGGCTGCAGACCTACAAAAGTATCTGCAAAAAAGTCGGCAAATCCAAGACGGAGTGCTGGTTTTCGCTGCAGCAAAGCCACAAGCAGGTGGCGACACGGAATTGAAAGCTGCAACGTCGGCGGAAAGCGCAGGGGCTGTCGCTCAATATTTGCCAGAAGCTGCACATGATTGGCACCACCATAAGGAGGACGGCCTGCTAGCATCTCAAACAGAATGGTGCCAACAGACCAGAGATCAGCTTTAGCGTCATATTTCTGAAACTTAAGAATTTCCGGCGCCATATAAAGCGGAGATCCACATAATGTCTCAGCCATGGACGTCGTGGCCAAGTGCCTAGCGAAGCCAAAATCCGCTATAGCAATAAGAACTATTGTCAGCTAAAACATTAAGAACATTTAGTCACCGACAATTTATGAATGTACCAATTTTTAGCACTGAAGTAGCCGAGTCCTCAACTAGCAGCAAGTTCTGTGGCTTGAGATCGCGATGGATGAGATTGTGTTGCCATAGGCACTGCATGCCCTTGGCTAATTCACGCAAAAAATGACGAGCCACATTCTCCGAGAGAAAGTGACCACCACTCTGTTGTTGTTGTCGCCGCATATAGTGCTGTAAGTCGCCTCCAGCACAAAATTCAAGTACAAGGTACATGTGCTTGTCGGTCTTTTTAATTTCGTACAGCTTTACAATATTCGGGTGGTCAATCTGGCGCATGATGGCAATCTCCATCTCCAAATTGGACAATAATTTGCCGTTAAGCTTATGCAGCGACAGCGCTTTGATAGCTACCGGCGTCTTGCTCATTTTGTGGTAGCCCTTGTATACCACAGCAAACGAACCACTGCCCAACTTACTCGTAACAATGTAATCACCGATGGATGCGCGTCCGGACATGGCGCCCCGCGAGCGATAACCTTGTTCAACCCTTGGCGACGGACGAGAGAGTGATGGTTCTTCGTACAGTGCGCAATCGGAAGTGCCGAAGGCGCGTTGCAAGTAGAATGTGGTGTGGAGCACGCATATGAGGGTAGGGCAGAAGTCTCGTGACGCGGAAATGTTTTAACCAATCCAATTACGCAGCAGTATTTTCGTAGTTGTGATGTTGCCAATCATACCCCTGTACTGACGGAGACGGACGACGGTAACTGCAACATACGACTGCAGGGACAAGCAGCATTCATCCACATCAACTGAAATCTCGATCAAAAGGGCATTGATGATAAATTGTCT